CTAAGGTGAGGCTGGTTTCCTCCAAATTTTCTGTCCTTGCTATGTGTCTTCATTTCTTCTCTTTATAAGCACACCAGCCATATTAGATTAGCATTTAATCCTCATGACTTTATTCACCTTCACTATTTCTTAGAGTTAACTTAATTACCTTACAGTACCATGCTGAGGAGCTGGGTAAGGTTAGGACTCCAGAATGTGAATTGGAAAGGAGGCCACATTCAACCCATAATACCTGGTAAATAGTTCTCTGACATCGAAATGCATTTTCTTTTAGAGTATGAGAAATAATGACTGTGTCCCCTTAAATAGAGCAACGGTGGCAGAGGAGAACATTCACTAGGTATAGAGTGTACAGGATTCCTCTTACTGGTCTGCAGCACTTAGGGGATATTTTGTAATGTGTCTATCTCTTAAGCAGTTCATTAACACACTTCATCAATGGCTTGCTGTGTACCAGACATTTTGTTAGGGCCCAGGACTGAAAAATGAAAAGTGTTACAACCCGTGATTGTCAGAAATAATGAGTATGAGAGGTACCACACACTCTGTTATAGTCTACTATGATAGGTCTGAAATATCAATAACAATAGTCTTAGTTACTTTTCTCCCATTGTTGAGACAAAATACCTGATATCCAAAGATAATAGTGGAAAGGTGTATATAGCTCACAGTCTGTAGAGGTTTCAGTCCATAATAGGCTGGCTCCAAAGCAGGGTGGCACAGGACAGAAGGGTACTAGTCCATGGTAGCAGGAGATAGCACCATCAGCAACTGAACCTTAACGGCATCTTTCTGCCCCTTTTATACTCTATGATAGCTGCTAGGATTTGGGTGATGCCAATACAATCATTGGACCAATCCTGCAGTCATGCAACCTTAATCCCAGAACCCTTAATCCCACTATTCCACTACAAAGCGATGACACAGTCTAGATTTAACTGCCTCTGAAAAGACTTTGACTGCCTGAGACTTTGGGGGAGATATGTGTACACAGACCATAACAGATACTGGAATATGTATGCAATATTGAGGGATTGAGGTTGTAGAACCCTGGAGTCAACAATGGAAATTTTCCCATGGCACTGTTCCCTGAGATCAGGGTGCAATGGAAAGCATTGTTCCAATGTAAAGATTTAAGAAACAAAAATATGCCCAGAATTGATGCCTCAGAGTCAAATAGAATGTGCAACTTCTCAGCTAGACTTTCAGACTTGTAGTCTACTCTGGGCCAGACACCTAGAAGGTAGCAAGACACTTCTCAGTTAGAATGGGCCTCATAGGGCCATGTAGGCTCTGGAGGCTTCTCACTTTGGCCCTACCCCAATGTCAGCTCAAGAGCAAGGGAGAGAGACTCACATTGTGTGGGTACAGGATCCACCAGCCGAGGAGCCGCTTGCATCTTGTAATGGGCTCTCAGGAGCCATATCTCTGGTAACATGGGTCTAGGTTCCAGATGCCCTAAGAGATCTACCCAGTTCCATGAGTCACCACTCTTGAGAAAGCCCTGGAAAGTCAGATTTAAAAGTTAAATTAGGATAACATGTAAAGTAAGGTCTGTAGGCTCTGAATGAGTAACTCAAAAATTAAGTGGATCTATTCTGTCTGTTGTACCCATTTAGGCTTTTTTTCCCCTTACCTCCAGGTTTTAGTCTGTTGTGGTTTGTATCTGGATGTCTTCTCAAAGTCTCATCTGGTTCTGAGGAGTGGCTTTTTGGAGGCAGCTGAGTCTAGAGTTTGTGACTGGTTTATTGTCTAATGTTAGGGTTGGTGGTGTGAATGCTGTACCCACCCGGGGGGGGGGGTACCTTGTGTACACTATGAAGGAGGGAAAGGGGCTTGCTCCTTCCTTTGTACTGGTTTTGCTCTGTTCCTTCTGCTATCTTCCTCCACCGGGAACTGTTGTTGCCCCTTTGCCATTGTTCCCTGCCTTAGAGCCAGCTGATACTGACTGAAACCTTTACAAACTGCACCTAAATAAACCTTTCCTCCTTTAGTTTGGGATGTCAAATATTTTGTCTCAGCATGAGAGAAAAGTAACCAAGACCTCATCTTTTTCGTGAAAAATGGAAGATTTAAATAATTCTTAAAAAAAAACTAGTTTCTAAACTTCTTCATAGCAGGAATCTAACACCCTATATTCAATACATAGATGTTCAAAAAAGATGAATGTGTTGATAAGATACCATACCTTTGCTGTATATTGTAATTCACAGACTAGAAGACAGTTTACTATAAAGAAAACTTCTGCAGATGCAAGTGAATATTATGAAAACTACATCGAAATGTTGAAGAAACAAGGATTTCTGCTCAGAGAACATTTTACACCTGAAGCAACCCAGTTAGCATCTGAAAAATTGCAAGCAGTAAGATTGATTGATAATTCTTTTATTTATTGGCTGGAATTTTTTCCTTGTACAGTTGGAATTGAACCTAACCCCTTGGCTCATGTTCAGCAAGCATTGTACCACTGAGGTACATCCCCAACACTATTGAATATTTTTAATGGAAATATTTTCTTTGTTACAAATCAAATTAATAGGAGAGAAGATGAGTTAAGGAAGAAAAAGTAAACTCACCAAAAGGCGCAGATATGCAATGTGGGATGAGTTTAGGAAAGCTGTGAAACTAATTCCTTATTCCAGCAGTGAACCCTTCCAGATTTCAGAAGATCTCATGATACTTTAGACAGAGTTGAGGGTCCATAATTCTCATCCTATGTGTTTAGTGCCACTGACAGGATTAACCCTTATGGAGTGAAGGTAAAGATGAGAGAAAATAAAATTAGAAAAAGAAAGGTGGATGTGGAGACAGAATTGGAAGAGGGGGAGGAGAGCACAGATTGGGGGAGACAGAGGAGATGCTAAGGAGATGGAGAAAGAGCATAGAGAGGACTGGTGTGTTACAGTTACCTGGTTCCTAGTGCATTTTATGTTGCTATCCCAAAATACTTGAGCCCAGGTACTTAACAAGTAAAGAATTTATTTGGCTCACTATTGGCTTACAATTCTGGTGACTGAAAGTTCCAAACAACATGGCACCAGCATCCTGGCTGAGTGGAATGAGTAAGATATTGGCTGCCACACACCGTAGTGGAAAAATGAAAAGTGAAACAGTACTTCTTCCCTAAGAAAACAATCCTTTCTGAGGGCAGGGCAGTACCCTATGGTCTAATCATCTCCTATAGTTGCCCACCCTTCTGTTCTACCATGTCAGCACCACTACTCTGGGAACCAGGCTCCCAGCACAGAACTTTGGCTAATACACTTAAGCCATTCCTAGGCACTTGGGCAAAGGTGGCTCTTTTATGCTGCTATTCTTTTCATCTCACACTTCTATTCATTTACCCATGTTAAGTTTTCATTTTTTGTTTTGTTTTTTGGGTCATGGTTCATACTGAGCTTGACCTCACTATGTAATACAGGCTGACCTGGAACTTGTGGCTATCCTCCTGCCTCAGCGTTCTGAGTGTTAGGATTACAGTTGCGCCACACTATGCTCAGTTCCATCTTAGTTTTAAAGGTAGTGACTTCTGATGGTTTTTGTGGTGATGCTTTGTTATTCTGTTGTTATAGCTGCTTTTGGAAGAGGTCATAAACTCAAGCACTCTGAGCCAGGAGGTGAGCGATTTGGTGGAAATGATTTGGGTGGAAGCTCAAGGCCACCTGGAGCATACGCTTCTCAAGCCTGTGAACAAGATTAGCCTCAATGATGTGAGTCATGTCTGTCATTTACAGTGAATGTATTTCCTGCTTTGCTCACTTAAATAAGTACACATTTGTGCTGGTTGGATTGCCCTGGATTTTGTTCTTGATTGTTCTTTCCATGTACCCTGTAGAAAAGGGGCAAGTTAGAGAACTAAGTGAAGAAAAAGTCAAAAAACTAGACATCCCTGCCAGAGCCTCTGGGCCATGAAGTTGGTAGCAGGCCCAACAGAAAGGGACAGACTTGGGCCCTACTAAGATGCCTGTTTCATAAACACTGCTTTACCTTCCGAAAGTTTTAGGAAGTATAGGCTCACTTTTAATCCACCAGTGTATAGTTGTATAGTTGCAACTGAAAGAAGATATCCTCAGTGGTACAACTTATGTAAATGCCTTATTGTATGAAGATGATATAGGAAAGTTTGTCCTATGGAATTAAATTGCCTTATTTTAGGGACACAGGGTTTCCTGGGGTAAAGTCCACAAAGCATTTTGTGATCTGGGGAGTTTGTCCCAGATTTGATGCTATCTTTCTACAATTTTTCATATGAAAAGAAATTGTATCACAGTGCCATTAATGTTCAGTGCTATAAATGTGTACACATGCACAGAAGTATAAGGCCCTTGTCTGTCCTTCTAGTTAAGCAGAGGCCAGTTTTGGAAAGAGTCCTAAAGGCGTCATTGTCATGACTGAGCTGTCTCCAGTAAAGATCATCATTTGCTATGACAGAAAGCTTTCTATCACTGTAACGAAATACTTGAGAGTCATCCTAAAAAGAGTTTTCTTCTGGCTTCATTGATTTGAAGACCATGAGGCAGCACGTCATGGCAGAGGTGTATCACAGAGCAAAACTGTTCACCTCCTGGTCAGAAAGCAAAGCAGAGGAAACTTTGGGAGCCTGTGGTCACCTTTAAGGGTACCACTAGTGACCTGAAGACCTGATACCTAGTGACCTAGGCTGCAGTTTGTTTTTTTCTTTTTTCTTTTTTTTTTTTTTTTTTTTTTTTTTGTCTTTTTGAGACAGGTTCTCACTATAC